ATTTTGAAGAATAGCCATTCTATAGGAATGGCTATTCCTTGAACTATTTTTCAACCAAATAAAGGAATCAAAATTGCTTGAGAATAAAGGGGGAATGGTCCAAACATGCTATTAGTTTCTTAAAAATAGCATGAGGGTCGTCACACATCCCTATGTCAAGGTATAAGGGTTAATTTTTTAAGATAATTAAAGATTAGTTTTATATTATTAATTATATTGGCATTTTTTTATCCAAATGAGAGTTAATTCATTTGATTTTGATAATGAGATCATACTATAGTTTATAATATGATCTAATAAAGTGAATTACACTTTAATATTACGTATAAGTTTAATAGTATAGAATTGTGTAAAATATCTTATTCTTATTACGACAGTTAGGATTGAGGGTTCACTGTATCAAACTTAAGTTTAGATTTTCTTCCACGCCTAGAAATTGAGTTTCTCACCTAATGATAAGTTGTAAATTAACGAAAAAGATTATCATAAGGCAGTGAATTCCAATAGTTAATTTGATCTGTATTCTAGTATCAAATCATGGATAAAAAATTAGATAAGTTTTTGAGTGTTTAAAATTTTTATAATGTGAATCTTAAATTAAATAAAATTAATTATACATAAAATTTAATGATTAGTATCAAATCAAATTAACTGCAATCCCAAATCAAGTATATCTTTTCCGCTGCATGAAAACTCATGATGACACCGGACACAAAGAATCACTTCACCAGCCAGCACCATTAAAATGTTTGTAATAGCTCAACATCCCTTAGAATGCCATATTTAGCAAGCCCATCTGCCTCCACACTGCACATGGCTAATCTTCCAATGTTTTTACCTGCTTTTGCAATCGTTCCAAATTAATAATAAGCTGACTAAATCTCTAAGGAGACTCCTCATGATTATTCGACCATAACAATGCATTTGCTGAACCACTTTCAATCCAAAACTTAAAATTATCTTGAAAATTATAATTAGAGAATAGTAAGAAAGCTTATTGAATTGCTAATAATTCAGCTAAATTTGTATCTTCAACTCCAATTGATTTAGAGAAGTTAGCTTTAATTGCACCACTACTATGACCAAGCAATCCTCCAATTCTTGCTTGACTCGAATTACCAGAAGATACACCGTCAACATTGAACTTCAACCACACCATACTATATTTAATCTCTTTTTAACACACTGCGTGTCCTTGGAAAGATTTTCAAGTCTCCTAATTAAATCATCAACTGTGTGTTTAATATGTGACTATTTAGCTTTAGTCCATCTAACAACTCTTAATTTTATGAGATCAAATACATGTGTAGCATCCCATATTTCCCATAAATATCATACCATTACGAGCTTTTCAAATGGATCATGCAATGGCATAGAAGCCACTTTCCAAACATTACCTCTATCACCACCAGTGATCAACATATACCAATCCAAAAAATAAAAATAAAAAAATTATGTGGACTATTAGGAAACACCACACTAACTTCCCATTTACAACACCAAATATTCCGAGTCCTCCAAGACTCCATGGATGAGAAAAACAAATGTTTGACAGTTTGATAACTATTACATAAAACACACTGTAATTTATCATCACCAAGAAGGCCTCTTCTGGCCAACTCATCTTTAACTGCCACTTTTTCCAAACACCAGTAGTCTTTCAATAAATACATACCAGAAGTCGCGGGCTTCCAAAGGACCCCATCAATCAATGATTTACTTAACGATGCTTGTTTCAAGAGTGACCACTGCTGAGCTCCCAATAAATATGTTGCTTCTTTAACTCCATCTTCCATTCCCAATTCCTACCAGCCCAAGAACCTAGTCGCCTAGAACCCCATTCTTAATTTTTGCAAGAGCAAAAATTCTTGGAAAAGCCTGTTAAAGATTTAATCAGTTAAGCCACCCATCCTGCCAAAACAAAATGATTTTTCATCCCAAATATTAACACCCAAATTAGATGTGACCAACAAAAAAAATTTGTTAGTAGTTGAAAACCTTTAATAGAAACCTATAAGAATAAACATAAAAGTAGAATAAGTGCTGTCAAAATATTAACGTAAACGTATAAAATTTAACATAACAAGTCAATGATATCAATAAATATAATTTTTTTAAGAAACTAAACATTTAAATTTATATTTTTGAATTTAAAGTATTTAATAGTTTATAAATTTTAATCTATAAAGGAATAATAGTAACGATAAAAATAATTATAGTGAAAATTAATAATTGAAAAGTTTTAACGTAAACTTCTATGAATTAATGGAAAAAATTATAAAGCTAGAACAAGTATTGTTAAAATATTTACATAAACATGTGAGATTTAAAGTAACAAGTCAATTATACAAATAAATATAATTTTTTAAAAAATTATACATTTAAATTTATATTTTCAAGTTTAAAGTATTTAACAGTTTATAAATTTTAATCTATAAAAGAATAATAGTAACGATAAAAATAATTATAGTAAAACTTAATAGTTGAAAAATCTTAACGTAAACTTGTGAAAAATAATGTAAAAAATTATAAAGATGTAACAAGTATTGTCAAAATATTGACGTAAACATGTGAGATTTAACTTAACAAGCTAATTATCTCGAATAAATATAATTTTTAAAAAAAATTAAACATTTCAATTTATATTTTCAAGTTTAAAGTATTCAACGGTTTATAAATTTTAATCTATAAAAGAATAATAGTAACAATAAAAATAATTATAGTAAAAATTAATAGTTGAAAAATCTTAACGTAAACTTGTGAAAAATAATGTAAAAAATTATAAAGATGTAACAAGTATTGTCAAAATATTGACGTAAACATGTGAGATTTAACTTAACAAGTTAATTATCTCAAATAAATATAATTTTTTTTAAAAATTAAACATTTTAATTTATATTCTCGAGTTTAAAATGTTTAATGGTTTATAAATTTTAATCTATAAATGAATAATAGTAAGGATAAAAAAAATTATTGTGAAAATTAGTAGTAGAAAATTCTTGATGTAAATCTGTAAGAATTAACGTAAAAAGTATAAAAGTAGAAATAGCATTGTTAAAATATTAATATAAATGTATGAGATTTAACATAACAAGTCATTTATATCAAATAGACATAATTTTTTTAAAAATTAAATAT